CGCACTACAATCAAGATAACCGTTATAAAAAAAATACAAGAATTGAAGAAGAGTTTACACTCTTCCCTTGAAGGGAAAAATAGTATTATCACGAATAATACTTGAATAAACATCGGTGGACTTCATAGTGAAAAAAAAGATTGCAATTGTCCACACGTTCGATTGACAGAATTTTCGAAGGAAAATCGTGTCGTCCCAAAAGATAAGTTTTCGTTGTTGAAAATTTATCCTACCTATAAACTTCGGTGCATTTTTGAAACATAGCAACAAAATTGTAGAAGCTTATGTTCGATATATCGATCGTCCAAAGTTCGTTTATATTTGGAGCCAACGATCGGGCACACTCGTTTAATCCGGAATGTTATGAAGTATTTATTGTGAAGTATTGTATGTTGAAGTATTTTTTTGTTCTGATCGAGGATGTTCCAACGGGATAGGAGAACGATCGCAGAGGATAAGGTCGACGCATCGTGATTATTTATGGGGCATGCGATGGTCGCACACCTCGAAACAGTTCGCCGTCCATGCACGCCGCCACCGCGGCTCGATAACGGCCCGGCTAACTCGATAAAAACTTTAACCCACTTTTTATCTAATTATTTCAATCCTCGGACTATGGACGGTCGAGTAGCGTCGCGACTGGCGAACGTCGGGTCAGTTTGACCCGTGCCCAATCTCTGTTAAGCCTTCGATGCTTCTTTTTCCTTCTTATAGATTCCATCGGATACCTATTTATCGCTATTTCGAGATCATCGACTACGATCCTTGAAAAAAGGGATTCAAACACCTTTTAAAACCTTTTGTAACTTTCTTCAAAATCGATTAAATGGCTCGAATTATTTTTAAACGTTGCAGGGACCAGTTTACTATAAAATCAATAAACTTATAAAATAATCTATTTTAATTTTGCTATTAAAATCGATTAAATGGCTCGAATTATTTTTAAACGTTGCAGGGACCAGTTTACTATAAAATCAATAAACTTATAAAATAATCTATTTTAATTTTGCTATTAAAATCGATTAAATGGCTCGAATTATTTTTAAACGTTGCAGGGACCAGTTTACTATAAAATCAATAAACTTATAAAATAATCTATTTTAATTTTGCTATTAAAATCGATTAAATGGCTCGAATTATTTTTAAACGTTGCAGGGACCAGTTTACTATAAAATCAATAAACTTATAAAATAATCTATTTTAATTTTGCTATTAAAATCGATTAAATGGCTCGAATTATTTTTAAACGTTACAGGGACCAGTTTACTGTAGAATCAATAAAATGATAAAATAATCCATTTTAACTTTGCTATTAAAATCGATTAAACGACTCGAATTATTTTTAAATATAATAGGAATCAGTTTACTGTAGAATCAATAAACTTATAAAATAATCTATTTTAATTTTGCTATTACTTGGATTGACAAAAAGAAAAAGGTACAAAAATCTCTCGTTTCTTAACCTTTTCATCCGAACCTGGAACGAACATTTAAAAAACGTGTTGGGTCGATCTCGGTGACTCGTATGCACACCGAAACTTTCATCGAAATCGGTCGACGCATAGTCGAGCTACCGTTGAAATCCGAAAAGAACTGCAATTTTCACGATCTTCGTGTGTCAACAATTAACATAAAAATATCAACCGACAAGCTGCTGGAACGCTTTTTTCCTCGTCGGATATAAAAGTTCACCCGATCCCGAAAGATGTGTGAGTAAATGAAAATTCGGGGTATTGACCGGTGGGTCGGTCCCATCAGGATCGAATCGCCGCGATTAAATTGCGGCGGAGGTTTCCCGCTAGAGAGGAAAGTCTCGCGAAAGCTGGAGGATGCTTCGGTAAATGCGCTCTGGCCCTTTGACGAGCTTTTCAACGACGCTTACGTTAGGAGAGAGGGGCCGAGAGGGGCCAAAGCAAAGGCGGAGGCGAGGGGCGCACATTCGGGTGCACAGAGCAGCGTGACGAATCTCGGTTTGGCCGCTCGAAAGGTCCCTTGCCGTGCAACGTTCATGCATCCCATACGATGCGGACGATCGCATCGTATCCTTTAACCGCGATCCGGTTCGCCTGCACTCGCCAGCGAACGCTGGCGAACGCTGGCGAAGCGGCGCGAGCCGATAAGCGAGGCGAGCCGGCGACAGCTTGATAACGAGAGCGACGTAAACGGGGCCGTTGCTACCGTTGCCGCGAGAAAGCCGTCGTCAGAAAGACGTCGGGAAGCCGTGAGAGACCGGACGGTGTCGTTTGCGGGTAACATTAACCCCCGTTCGATCCGCGGTTCCTCCGTTTAATTGCTGTTTTCGACGGCCGGGCGAAAAGCGGTCGATGCAAAACTGCCACCGAATTTTCCGTTCCGCTGCGAATTAACGCGGCGGAGCAACCGCAAAGGCTTCCACGATGTACAAAAATAAATGTTGCAATCGATATGTGCGTTAAAGAGCGACCACGTCGAGCAAAACGGCGAAGAAACGAGGTGTCAGCCTTCGCGACTTTCCAGCGAACAACAATCTAACACGAGTATCCGACGATTAGGGTTTCCCTCGGTCGCTTACGAAGCATTTCGATCCTCGAAAGGATCTCCGAGGATCTCCGACGAATGTCCCTGGTAGAATGATTTCGATTCGGGCTGGTTCGACGGCCAGCGACCGGTGCAGGATTCTTGAACCTCCGGCTCGAGGAGCGAGCGTCCCAGGAGCCGGTGCACTCGCGACGTGGCCGAACAGAGAGGGAATAGGAGAATCCTACACGGCCGGTCGTTACCGGGCAGAACGAGGTAAAGGGGTCAAATCGGAAAAGGCAGCGAGCAGCGGCGGAAAGCTCGGACAAAGAACAGCGACAGAGAGAGAGAGAGAGAGAGAGAGAGAGAGAGAGAGAGAGAGAGAGAGAGAGAGAGAGAGAGAGAGAGAGAGAGAGAGAGAGAGAGAGAGAGAGAGAGAGAGAGAGAGAGAGAGAGAGAGAGAGAGAGAGAGAGAGAGAGAGAGAGAGAGAGAGAGAGAGAGAGAGAGAGAGAGAGAGAGCGAGCGATCTCTTTCTTTCCTGGCCGCGGTGTTCGCTGCTCACGTTTGAAACGATCCAGAATTTCCGGATCAATCTCGCGCGAGCGAGAGCGAGGAGAGCGAGCGCGAGAGCAAAAGCGAGGGCGGCAAGCAAGGGGAAAAATCGAGCTCGGAGGCGCCCTACACCGCGTCGTCGAGCGAAACGTGGAAGGCGAATCGAGGTCGAGGCGACACGAGTCGCCGGAACACGCTCGCGTTGCACGAAATTTGCCGAGCGATCGCGACACTTTCTTCCAGCTGCGGAACGTGTTCGGAATGAGTTCGAAGGGCTCGGTATTAGAACAGGGGTCGGCGAGAGGAACGCGAGGCAACCCCGAGAGCGCGCAGCCTAACCGCACTCGAAGCGGCGAGGTTAGTTTCGTGGACGGGTTGTTTTGGGCAGGGAACGTTCGACGAGGATTTTCGCGGGGGATGACGCATAGAACGATGATAGACGGTGATCGTGGAGGGTGGCGTCGTCGAGGAAGGGTACGGAAACGAGTCGACGAGAGTAATCGCGATCGGAACACACGGGAATCGTGGTCGCTTCGCCTCGGTTTCGCTGGACTCACCTCTAGAGGGAGGCAGGGGCTGGTTGCGGCCATGTTCCTACATGCGTTCGAGCCTCTGCCCTGCTGGCGACGATTCCCTCTTCGTGCTCAGGCACCACTTTAAGACAAACCACCACCACACTCGACGAAACGGTGCACGACGGTCGCGCACTGCCGCCGACAGACAGACGACGGCTGGTTTACTTTTTCCCCGGGCCTCGCTCGTGCGCCTCGCTTTCTCTCTCTCTCTCTCCCTCTCTCTCTCTTTCTCTCTCGCTCTCTCTCTCTCGTTCTCTCTCGCCGCGGCGACGAAAAAAACAATCAACGCCGACGAGATAGACGCTTATTCACCTCGCATACCACCCTTATCGCCGGCTCCTCCTTCTCCTTCTCCTCCTCCTCCTCCTACTCCTCCGGCGAGCAACGGCAGAACGATAGGCAGAGCAGGCAGAGAGAGCAGGCAGTGCCTCGCGCCTCTCTCTTCTCCGACTCCGACTCCGACTCCGACTCCGGTTCCGACGACGCGGTTCTAGCCCGCGTTATATATCTTACACGGGGTGTCGCTTATTTTCTTGGCCTCGTGTTCCTCGTGGGCGAATTAGATCCGGTCGGGTGCACGCGTACCCCGGTGTGCTCGTTTCCTCTTGAATCACGCGTATCCCACGTACGCTCCGGCGGCCACGCAAACGCAGGCACCAAACCAGCCCAGGCGGCCGGACCACACACGCGGCACGCTTTTCCACGCTCTAGCCACGCACTTACGCACGCACGCTAGCACGAGAATCCGCGGTAAAGACCGATCGTTTCAGAGTGCGAGAGACGGATATATACCCGAGGTGACCGGAGAGAGGGAGAGAGAGAGAGAGAGAGAAAGAGAGAGAGAGAGCGAGAGAGAGAGATAGAGACACAGATAGAGCGAGAAAGAAAGAGAGACAGAGAGAGTGAGAGAGAGAGAGAACGAGAGATAGAGTGATAGAAGAGCGTGAGGATAGAGCGACAGAGAGAAAAAGAAGTGAGGGGGCGGGACGGGGGGAACGATGTAACTTGTGTGCCTCTTCCTCTCCCCTAGACTCTAAACTCCCTCGATCTCGATGACGGAACAACAAGCGAGCAGCGCGCGACGCACAACAACCGGCGGCCACTGCCTTCCTTTTCTTCTTCCTCGTCTTCGTCCGGCACCTCTCTTCCTCTCCTTCTTCCTCCTCGTCGTCGACGTGGTCGTCTCTCCTCCCGTTCAAGTTTGCTCCCTCCTCCTTCTCCTCCTCCTCCTCCTCCTTCGCCTCCTCCTCCTCCTCCTTCTCCTCCTCCTCCTCCGCGGCTCCTTCGAGCACCTCCTCCACCAGCGCGTTCACAACTGCCTCCTCCTCGTTCTCCTTCTCCTTCCCTTCCTCCCGTCCTCCCCTGCGACAGCAACACACCGGAACGCACTCTTCTCCTCGTTCCCTCCCGCGACAAGGATTCCTTTCTCTCCTCGGGTCCTGCTGCTGCTTCGGCACACGCACCCGCACCCGTACCCGCACCCGTACCCGTACCCGCACCCGCACCCGCACCCACACCCGCACCAGCGGAGCCCGCACCTGTTCCTCTTCCACCGTATCCTCCTCCTCCTTCTCGACCACCACCACCACCAGCACCAACACCACCGTCTCCTCCTCCGCCTCCTCCTCGTCTCCTTCCTCCTCTGGCTCGTCCAGCTCCTCCTCCGCCTTCTCGTTCTTGTCCACGTCCTCCTCGACGGCCGTCGCTTCCCACCGTCGTCTTTCTCGTCTCTGTCCTCCCCCTCGGCTGCCTCGTCTTCCTCTTCCTCTTCGTCTTCGTCTTCGTCGTCGTCGTGGTCGTCGTCTTCTTCACCTCCACCGCATCCGTCGTCAACCGCCACCGTACCACGGTCTCATAACAAACGCACTCGCGTCCCTCAGCGTCTCCGAGGGCGATCGAGCGAGCGACCACCGCGCACACAACCGCACAACCTTTCTCCTCTTCCTTATCCTTTGTACTCTCGCTTATACACAACCACCACCGCGCACCGCTGCTCTCTTCCTCTCTCTCTCTATCTCTCTATCTCTCTCTCCCTCTCTCTCCCCCACCTCCTCCGTTTCCTCTTCGAGTATCCACTGGACACGATTACGATCCTTGCTGACGCTTCTGCTGACCGCGGTCTGCTGCTGCACCACTCTCAGCACCGTTCACCTCCGCGTCCGCGTCCACGTCCGCGTCCACGTCCACGTTCACGTCGTCCGCGTTGCGCCCGTTCATGTTCGCGGCCACATCCGCGTGCCCCGTCGAGTTTTCCGCCCGAGAGAACCAGTCCTCGAGCTGTTTCGCGAGCCCTTCCTCTCTCTCTCTCTCTCTCTCTCTCTCTCTCTCTGTTTCTCTTTTTCGTTCTTTCTTTCGTTCCTTCTCTCGCTCTCTCACTCTCTCGCCCGCGTAAGACTACGATATTCTCACTCGACGCGATCTCTCCTCTCCTCTCGCGATGTCCTCTCGACGCACACGGTTTCAACTGGCCGAGCCTGCCGATGCCTCTTTGTCCTCTCTCTTGCGCGCTCTCTCTCTCTCTCCCTCGCTCTCTGTGTCCGCTGGCAATCCGTTTCCTCTTTAACCCCCGTTTTTACGTTCCGTTTCGTTTCGTTACGTTTCGTTTCGTTACGTTTCGTTTCGTTACGTTCGTTTCGTTACGTTTCGTTTCGTTTCGTTTCGTTCGTTCGTCTCTTGTCCGTTTCACTCGGCCGGAAGTTCACGCACTACCTACGTTCCCCGAGCGTCGGAGCTCGTGGCCACAGCGGGACGGTCGCTCGACTACGCTCTCTCGCTCTTCCACCACCACCTACACACGGACCCTCCCTCTCCGACCAGATAGAGAGAGATACAGAGAGAGTCGCGCCCTCTCTCTCTCTCTCCGTCAGCCGTCTGCTTTTCCAACCCCCTTCACCGAAAACCGCGCGCTCTTTCTCCCACGAACCCGTCCGTCTCGTTCCCGCCGACGCCGCCGGCGACGTTCTACCCTCTCGGTCGCGTTTCGATTCCCTCGCCCTCGCTTTTCCCTCTCTTTTCCACCCGCCTCCCGGCACTCTCCCTCGGGGCCAGCTCGGTCTCCCTCGCGCCCCAAGCCTAGCGCCACTTCCCTCTCGCTCCAAAGCTTTTTCTACGTTTACCGCCCCCGTTCCCTGGGCTCGCGAGCTCCTCTCCTCGGCCGCCGAGGGATTCCGCGACTTTCCGCGCTCGCCCCGCGAACGCCTTCCCTCTCTCTCTCTTGCACGCTCTCTCGTGCTTTCTCGCTCTTTCTCTCTCTCTCTCTCTTGCTCGACGGACTCGCCCTCCGCCCCCGCGATTCTTCCCTCTCGCTCCGACCGACGCGCCTGGGTGCTCTCCTATCTTTCTCGACGTTCCTCTCTCCTCGCGGCGTTCCGAAGCCGAGTGGGGAGGCAGGAGCGTATCCACGAGGAAAGGACACCCCCGACTTTACTCACCGCGTCTCCCGCAAAATTTCAAACGGTCCGCCGGCCGAGTTGCGATCGCTTCCTTCGGGAAACGATCGGACGGATCGAAGCGATGCTCTCGATAGAACTGCCGAGACTAACGAACGTTTTTCTATCGGTGTCGGCGGCGGTGTCGCGACCGACCGGGATAGTTTGTAAACTACTTCTTGCTTATAGCTGCCGCGCAACGTGTACCGCGGCTATTAGCCGCTCGGTCCTATTGTTGCCGCGACCTGCTTCGACCGTTGCGCGATTCGAACGACGAACCGATCCGAGGATCGGGACACTTTTTGGCACGTCGCGAAACCGTTGGTTCGTCGCGAAGATTAAGGGATAAGGGACTGCACTGCAATTGCAATACTGCATGCTGCAATGCAAGGGACAATGCAATTACAAATGGTGCTAAAGAACGTGCACGGGACCGGACGAATGCGTTTGGACGCATTTTTTGAGACTGTAGCGATTTTTCAATTAACCTTTGCTCGAAGTAGTTAGATAATTACAATAGTTAAAATAACCTTATGTTAAATCTTTTTGTTTATAGAATTTTATTTATTTGTTTATTTGTTCATATATGATATTTATATATTTATTTATTTATTATTAAATTAAACTTTTTAAAACTGGATCGAATGATTTGAATTGTTTTTTTTGGGGTGACAGAGAGTCTGGTCTACTAAATAATGATTAAAACGCATTTCTTTCATTTCGTTGTTGCCTGGAATGATAAGAAAAATGTAAATCTCACGTTTTTTAACCGTTCTATCCGAATCTGCGCGAATATTTAAGAAACGCCTTTTGTACACGAGCCGTAAAAGCAATTGAAGATCGCGAAGATCCCAGTTTTGTCCTTGAACACTTTCGACCGTTAACCGTCACCGATATCTGCAGTTTTTCATAACTTTCAACACTTGTAGCTCGCCTCTGCGTTTAACCGATTTTAATGACATATATAATGAAATATATATAAGTCATCCAGATCTAGGAAACGCATTTTTTAAATCTACGTTACAGACTCAGATAAAACGAGTAAAGTACTCTTCCTACCATCGCGGAAACAAATTCGGGTGATTTGGTCCGGTTTAAAAATAATTATCGCGTTTTCAATGACACGCATCGCCGATATGTCAAACTCGCGGCCCGAGATGAACATTTTCGATGTCAAGTATCAGAACGTAAACAATAATTTAACTTTACATATGTTTATTACAATGTACTAGTCAAAATAAAAATATTTGTTTCTACGATCATTGATTTTTTCTTGGCGGCCCACCTAAAGTTAAGCATTGTTTATTTATTATTATAGCTCAAGTTAGCTTTCGAGTTTGACACCCCTGACGTAGACTTTTGATTTCAGCGAGCGAAGTTCGCTGAAAAAAAGATCGACGTCAATTTTTCGAACGGTTCCAGCGAAATAACGGCCACGTACGACGCGTGGCCGCGATTCGGAATTAGCTCGGTCCGCTCGCATTTTCGAAATTGGTTCGGCGCAAAGAGCGCGCTGATTGCGAGCCGGCGCGTCGCGTCGCGTCGCGACGCTGCTCGGCGATCGGTGTGCGTAAGAATTCGTGAGCATATAAGCGAGGTTCCTTGCGAGGTGTTTCGGTGTGTGCGTCGAGTCGAACCGATACTGCCGGCAGCGGCTAGGCATGCGCGCTCGCGACGCTCCTGGAAGAGGGGCGGGCAGGGTTACCAGCTTTCGGGGGTGCACGAACGTTCCTTGGAATCCCGGCACCCCGTCCGATCGCCGCCGATGTCTCATAATTTATAGAAAAGCCTCTCGGCCTCCCCCCGTACTCCCAGTCCACCTTCCCCCCAAACTAGTCCTCCTCCACTCCCCCAAAACCTCCTCCTCTTCATCCATCATCCGCAGATCTCTCGTCCGCTCGAATTTCCCGTCCGGCGAACGATTCTCGTCCATTGAAGCCACCTAGATCGAACGCTGGATGCAAACGGTGCACGAACACGGTGCAACGATCCCGATTCGGTGCAGCCAGCGAACACGGTTAATTGCCCCGGCGAAACTGATAGATGATGCTCGGGCCGCTTAAGAATCTGTCCGGACGGATCAACGTTATTTCGCGGAGCTGACCGAGTAACGTCGATGGGATCGACAGAGAGAGAGAGAGAGAGAGAGAGAGAGAGTCTGATCCGATTCGGCTCTTCGAGCATTCATCGAAACGATTCGCGTGCCGGTCAGCGTTTCTCGTCTAAACGAACCGCGCTCCTAATTAAGCTGAATTTACAAGTTTTCTTTCTCTCTCTCTCTCTCTCTCTCACTCTCCGCGGAAAACGAATCCATCGACCGAAGGGGAACACGGCGTGCATTCGAGGCGTTCTCGCAGTCTGGTCTCCGGCGAAGTCGAATCCGTCGGAACAAGCCTTGATCCGAGGGTCGCCGGCGAGTGCATGTGCACAGGTTCTGCACGCGAGCGAGCGGAGCGAAAAAGGAAGAATGGTGTAAAGCCTTCGTATCGCGGTGATACGAAGCGATACGATACGATGCGATGCGATGCGATGCGATGCGCCCGGATGGCTGCGCCCCGTTCGGCGCGATTCCACGGTATAAAGGATTCAGTTTGAAATCCGCGAGACGACCGGACGAACGGAAAAGAAACGGAGAAACGCGGGAGAGAACGACGGAGAGAGAGAGAGAGAGAGAGAGGGATGGACGTGCACGAGGGAGCGAGGCGGAGAGGCGGACGAAGAAGGCCCGCGAGAAGGAACGGAGAGACGGGGGCAGTGGTCGAGGGGGAGACGACGGAGGGTGCAGCGTTCTGGGTTTCTGGGTTCGCCCCGCGACGAACTTCGGAAAGGCTGGTGTGCGCGACGAATGTGGAACAGTAGGTCAGCGCACTCCGTGACCCCCGCCGCGGCCTACCCCTCTTCGGTGCATACACCCTGACGCGATACGTACGACCCTCCGACTACCCCGTTTCGCCTCCCACGCTCCCGATCCGACCCTCCCGCCGCCGTTCTCTCCCACTCTATGTTCGTCCACTTCCGTCTCTGTCCTCTCTGTCACCCTTTCTGCCGTTCGTTCTCGGTATCTAGCTCCGTTTCACCCTTGTCGATCCCCTCCGCACCCTCGCCCTCTCGTCCTCTGTCCCTTTCTCTCTCTGTCTCTCTCTCTGTGTGTCTCTGTTCATTTCCCTCTATTTCTCTCTCTCTCGCTCTTCGGATCACTGTTGTTCCGGTTCCTTCCAACACGTACCCGATTGCGTTAACTTACGCTACGCTACTACGCGAGTGCATCATCGGTGGCTCGCGTCAACAGGCTCTGCGAGCGATTAACGATCTGAGACGCGCCGATTCCGCGGCGGGTTCGCCTCCGTTTTCCCTCGGGCACGCCGCGGCTCGGCGTCTTAGCGAAGAGACGAATGAGTGTGGCACAACGCTTTTCACGGAACACCGTGAAAAATGGCCGAAGGAAATCCAGCGAATGGGCTACCGAGCGAAGGGGGTCGCGCGCGCGCGCGACGTAATCGCCCTGATGAGCCTCAACTTTCCAGTTCCGGCGCCGCTGAATAAATTACTCCGATTTCGCGAGACCTCCGCTCGGACGGCCGCCGCCGTTTAAAGAATCATTCGCCGGCCCGGCTCGACAATTACATCGCGGGAAGTAATTAATTTTACGGGACCGAATTTCCGATGTACGTTCGTATCGCGGGGCTCGCTCGTCTCGCGGCCGTCTCGCGCCGATAATTATTCTTCGGATCGATTCGCAGCAGTTTCACGGTGGTCACAGAGGATCGAACGCCGCTGTGACAGTCTTTTCGGCAGTTCCGGCCGAATCTTGGACGTCTCGCGAACAAGATAACCGACCTCGTCACCGTCCCCCCCGTTCCGTTTATCGCTCCGTCGCAGGCGAGATCGTCCCGGCTTCCGACTTCTACCATTCTACTCGAGAATAAAGATGCCCGGCTGCTCGATTCTTGCTCCGAGAGCAAGGTACGCGCGACCTTTCGTTGATACAGTAATGTCTCCCTTACTGACGCTCGGATTGTCCACAAAAATGGACAATTTGGGAAGAGGCGATACGATTATTCGAACCTTAAAGATCGTTTTTTATAGTTGTGGATAATTTGTGACTATAAAAGTGAACCGCAAGGCTCGAACAATCGTATCTCCTCTTCCTGAATTGTCCGTTTTTGTGGACAATCTGAGCGTCAATTGCTGTACAATAATGTCTCTCTAATTGACGCTCAGATTGCGCACAAAAATGGACAGTATGGAAGGAGGAGACGCGATTATTCGAGTCTTACAGCTCGTTTTTACAGTCGTTGCCAATCGGCAATTATAAAAACGAGTCGCAAAGCTTGGACAATCGTATCTCCTCTTCCCAAATTGTCCATTCTTGTGGACAATCTAAGCGTCAGTTAGGGAGACATCACTGTACGTCCACAAATGCTGCCGTGAAAGCACGATTTCTAATCGGCG